CCATCACAAATTGGTAGACCGATACGATGCATCTGTGGTGCTTCTAACAAAAGACATGTTTTCGTGTTCTTAAATCAAAGATTTCAATAAACGAGTAGACGAAAATCCTATTCCTAGTGATGTTTCCGCTCACGCTCTTTTTGGGGATCATGCGATTTCATCAGTTATTTTCATTTGATTCGAATATGGAATAGGATATTTGAATATCGACTGACTATTGTTGATTCTAATTTAAACTCTAAATGAATACATTTGTTGATTTTCTACAATTTATTCACAGCCTTTTCTGAACTCGTGTCGATTCATAGTTTGGTATATTGTCTTAACACCAGCCTGCCTACTGTTGAAAACTGTGGTTTGCCTTCTAGATATTATTTGGTTATTTGTGTTGTTCGATTGCTGTCTTATTGACCATTTTGTTTTATTCACATATCAATAATAGATCAATTTATACAAATGCTGATCTTTAAATGGCTAAATGAGGAATAATTTGGATATGTAACCCCTTTGTATGAAAACAACCTATCTATATGAAAACGATCCCAGATTATAGAATTATGAGCTCCGCCTATCTAATGAATCAACCCTATTTTACACATTTTCCTGTAATTAATGCAAACGGTTGCGTTTTAAAACCTCGAAGATATTGATCATTTGAAGAAAAAAGTCATTGACATTATATATATTGTAAATATGAATAATAGATAGAAATATGTAAAAACGAATTATTATCTTAAGACATACATGTGTTTGATAATGATCAACATTTGATAAATATTTCACGAGCTATCTTCTTTGAAATCGACATCATCATCACACAAATTTCAATTTTATAACGAATAATTGATTTCACTTTGGATTGTAACTGCTTTTATTTCACTCTACAATTTCAATCGAAATTTTATTTTGAAAGTTTTACTCTCAGTTTTGAAATGTTAATAATTTCCAATAAGTTTTATTTCCTGAGTAGTAATGAATAAAACTATAATAATGCGTTATATTTCAATAGAAATCAACACAATCAACAAGAAAGTTCACAAGAGTGTATATGTTTTAAATTACTTAGATCAACAGGTAAAACATTATACAGATCATAACATGTACAAATATCAATTACATCAATAACATCTTACAAAAGGATCGGTACATCACGAATGTATGTCACTAAATTCGTAATAAATTGTTTTTCTTGATCATCATTGAGCTGTAGATGATTCTCCTTCCTTGAATTTTTCATCAGGATTATATATGAGCTGCGTCGGATAGAAATCGACATTATGCAAGTGCACATATACATGTACATGTATAAGACTTTGATTGATTTTTGGAACATTCAATTACGAAATGAAAGATGAACTTTGGTCCGTTTTATTTGGTTCTTATAACAACTCAATTTTCAAACAGCAACAGACTTATAGAGATTTTTTTTCAATCCGTGATAGGATAACAGATGTATTGATATTCATTTGCATAAGGTCATTTCTATCCGACGCAGCTCATATATTATTTAAAATGTCTATGAAAATACCTTCATCGTACTAGTCTTAATCATACACAAAATATTTAAAATATTTCATCAGAACATCAGATATTTTAACTCCTCCGGAGCATCTGAGACCAACCCCTGTTTTTGGTGGGGTTCATGTTGCTCAGTCTTTAGTTTTTTATGTTATGTTTTTATACTGTTGTTTGTCTTGCGGTCTTTTTCTTTTTCTTTTTTTTTTTTGTTATAGGGTTGTCCGTTTATTTTCGACTTATGAGTTTGAATTTCACTTTGGTATCTTTCTCCTCTCTTTTAAGGGAAGTAAAAAAAACATCAAAAGAGACATGGATATATTGTTCACTTTGTGAGTTCAAGATGTCACTTGGGTCTTAATTGTTGTGTATCTGACTTATACTTTCTGCAAACTGTATCTTTGATTTCAACCAGATAGTTTCTAAGGACTGTCAAACTTGGAGTAGATTCGTTACCATGTTTCTATGAACATTCACCCGTGATTTTCCAATATACACAGCAAGAGTCTTAAGATATAGCTGTCATGTATATTTTAAAGATTTCGAATTTAAAACCCGAATCTGAATTATGAAATATAAAAAAAATTTAACAAAAATACCAATCTCTAAAGTAAATTCAAAATGGGGAAGTCCAGAAAATCTGAAAACACGCTATATTTTGAATTTACACTGATAGCTTTGTTTTCAATATTACATGACAGATGTAATCTTATAGTATAGTGGTTTATTTTTCTCAAATCTTACACCTAATATTTCAAAAAGTCATGTTGCATGTATTAACCATGTTAACTCTATTCTTTATTCAAATCAAATTGATTCTGTGCAAATTTAAGACCTACTTGTTGCAAGTGAATTATAAACAAGCAAATTCTATCATCTTAGACGGTCTCTATCAATATCATTATTACCTTTTTTATTGATGTTATAATTATCATTTTGACTAGTATTATTATTATTTTGACAAGTAATATTATTATTTTAACCAATATTGTTATTTTGACAAGTATTATTATTATTATGACAAGAATTATTATTATTTTGACTAGTATTATTATTATTTTGACAAGTATTTGTGTGTATAAAATGTTGACTATAACGGCATGCAATGCACAGATCTAGCCCGGTAGACGATAAATAAACGAACCTCATTGTCAAGGGGCCGAGACTTGCTTGCAATTAGGACCAAAATGATATCTTTCGTTCTTTATTCACAGATGAAGTATAGCTTTTGTAATTGAGAATTCGAAATGACTTTAGTTTAAATGTGTTTCGCTATAGCTAGGCTTTGCATGACGTTTGTAACGTCTGATCTGTACATTGAATTGTAACACAATGTTTCTATAATCATGGTGTACAAAACTAAATGCTCTCAGAGCATGCAGTAGTATTTAAACATCTGTTTAAGGTGGTACCTAACACTACAGGGAGATAACTCTGTAAAAATCAACTAGACGTTTTAATCACGTTGTATTGTTAAGGAAATATTAAGCTTCTCAATGATCAAAATTAGTGTTTGTCAAACTGCTATATAACCAATGAAATTTTTCTGATAAAGTGGTTGGTTGAAATTTTTTGAAATTTTTATACTTTTGTCAAAGGGTCAAAGTAAACATTTTGTCAAAATTTTATGAAAATTAAACGAGCCAAATTAATATTAGTCAAGGTGTTGGGTACCACCTTAATGCTTGTGTTCACGACAGGTTGAAATAAATCATAATGATTATGAATGTCATTTACAATTGTATGTTCAATTATTGACATGTTGAAAGAAATGACTTTTATATGAAATTAAATAACACATTATTAATTGTATGCGTCCGAAGCGCTTGTTTGTGTTCAGCGCTATCAGGAAGGCTCAATGCTTAATATTGGAAGGCCACTTATGTTTACGTACTTAAATAGATGAAGAGTTATATGATCAAAAAGGTCCCACAAATAAAAGCCAAATCCATCTAAGGTTATCTTTGCTTCAGGGAGTTGATTATTCTTATTTTCTAGCACTGGGTAGCGAACGATACAGTGGACTCCAACACCTAGAGTATATGATAAGCTCAGTAATCAGTGATTCGGTATATTAATACATGTATTTATAACATACATTTCTAAATTATCCGTTGATTTTTTAAATTATCAAGAATCTAAGGTTTAAACCTACTCGGACAAAGATGACCATAGATTCATGTAGTTATGCTTTTTGTGTCCGTTTTAGGCAGATAGATCTTCACGTATGAGGGAGTATATAATCTTTGCCTTTCAGTTAAGGTGGCACCCAACACCTTGACTAATATTAATTTGGCTCGTTTAATTTTCATAAAATTTTGACAAAATGTTTACTTTGACCCTTTGACAAAAATATAAAAATTTCAAAAAATTTGAACCAACCACTTAATCAGAATTCATTGGTTATATAGCAGTTTGACAAACACTAATTTTGATCATTGAGAAGCTTAATATTTCCTACAACAATACAACGTGATTAAAACGTTTAGCTGATTTTTACAGAGTTATCTCCCTGTAGTGTTAGGTACCACCTTAATAGGTTTGGGTGTTTCTGGTGATTGTAAATTCAGAGAAAAACAATTCGGACCCACCAAACTCAATAGTATAATTTACATCTTCAAAGACAAAAACTGTGGATTCATTATTATTCGTTGGATACCAATTTTCGTGGATTTCGTGTGTACAGACGAACCACGTAATTAAATATTCAACGAATGACATATTTTCTTTAGGCTTGTATGCAGACTTCGGCAAAACAACGAAATTAAATATCCACGAACATTTAAGTTTTCCTTAATCAACGAAAATTGGTCCCAACGAAAATAAATGAATCCACAGTACAACAAATGAATCCACAGTACAACAAATGAATTAATACCAATAGAAATAAAAATCAACAACAAATACCAATACAAGGCAATACACTTTCATAACAATTGTTTAAGTAGGGAAAAATGTAAGTAATGAAGGTTTGACCAAGACACATCGTTTGACCACAAAACTTTCCTAAGCGTTAATATAATCATTAACTTTGTTCCAGACAGCACAAGGATAACAAAAATTTTTAAATCATAAATAAAGGAGTTATATATTATTGAATATTAACGAACTTTAGCTCCCTATTTGTCAACCAAGAACTCCGTATAGTTTTTAAATATTCTAAACAAAGTATTTCTAAATATTAGTCTTCAATCTTTATTTTTCTCCATTTCTCTATTTTTTTAAAGTTATGTCTTCAATCATTCAACCTTTTCATTCTACATATTCAAAATTGAGGGCCGTATGATAATAATAAAAAATACATAATCGTTGAATAATACAAAATGAATTTTTTTTTTGTAAAAGAGTATTGTCTTTTATCTTATATTTATCAATTTCAAGCCATCGAAAGATATGAAATCGATCAGCTTTCTATGTATTACCTGAATTAAATACATTTGTTTTACTAGTCCAAAAATAGTTTTAACATAGAAAAGTCAACTTACTATTTAATGTCAGGAATGGGTCCTTAAATCTTAAATTACTTTCAATACACCATGTTACATTATTTGAAAGAAGATTTTATTACTTTTCATTTCTTTTTATACGCATTTGAACAACATCGTTCTAACAAAATCACGTGATATGTTCAATACGCTGTTATCGCTTGTGACGTCAAAAAAGACAGTAAATGATGGCTGATCATTGTTATGAACTGACCTCTGCACATCATTACAAAATACAGTGGATCGTATTTTAAAGGTGCCACTTTATTCGTTAAGGATAAGATGAAACAATACTGATATTTCCAATCCCATATGGCACTGTGTTGTCTTGACTTTTTTAGTAGTCTTCATCATTCATCTGAAAAGAAATTTATTCAAAAACATAAAATACTCCTGAAACTAAACTATTCCCTCACATACACCGTACACATACCTTGTGTATGTCTCACGTTTATAGTCCTGTACTTGGGTCATGATGGATATGATCTGCCTAAGGCTTATGTCACTCGTTGTAAAACATGCAATCTCTTTTAACGAAGTGTTTTTGGGTTAAGTTCTATAAATTTAGTAAATGTATAAACTTTAAAACTTTTGCATTTATCTAAAATTTCAAAATATTGCAGAATATAACGGATTAATATTTTACTTTGTCATTATTTGTGGAATTGTATGGATACTATCAACAGCTTGTGTAGAAGCTGTTGATTAAATGTAATTGTCTATAAATCATTTGAGAATAACACTGATTTTAAAAACAAAACAGGGAAGAAAAAAGGGGGGATTCGCAATCATGAACAAATAAATGCAGACAAAATCGTGGCAAAAAAATAAACAATGAAAGGACTCTCGCAACAATAACAATCACTACATAGAAAACTACATATCGAGCAAGAAGAACCCTACAAAAAAAGGGGGGTGAACTCATGTACTCCGGAAGGGTAAGCAGTTCCTGTACCAGATGTCACACCCGTCGTGTTAAACAATTATCATTGTATAATGTTTTAAATCTCAATCAATATTAAAAATGAACGTACAACACACATTTCGTGTTTCGTTTTGTTACATTGTAATCACATTGATTATTTAACGAATGGCTGCTGAAAGTGCAGTCACTGTGGTAAATATATAACACAAATATTTAAGACCATCTAATATTAATTTACCCTATTTACTATGTAGTTCTAGAAAGAAACGCGCTGATTTTTAATGTGCTAATTCACGAGGTAATAGTCCACTGAAAAACATGTCACCCTACCAGACATAGAATTCTGATCCCGAGTCTACAAGTTCTCGCTGTGCACTCTTGACAATCGATATTCAGAAGGTGAAGTAACATAATTCAGTTTTAAAGTCTTTGGTTTTGTCCAGCTATTAGTTGAATCCAAGGTCTTTTCAATAGAAGCTACATGAGACAAGAGACCGTCGATGCGATTTAATTCTTTTTAAAATTATGTTTTCCAGTGAAAATTGAATGGAAAAAGCTTAGCCAATGGCGACATTTTTACGATTTCTTATTGATTTTCATACTAATTTACTGATAAGCAGAAGTTTGATATATCATTATGTTTGAAATAAAGTTTAAACAGATACTTATGTAACCTAAATATTTTAGTTCATCCAAGTATTCAATCTCTCCTAATCGCACTGGCCTATACTCGTTGACTGAATTATTGGGGTTAATACTGATAACGGTATCAAACCGCTCGACATAGAGCCTTCACTTGTCCAGCTTTTTTGCTACTCAAGCTAAGTCTGAACTAAATTAAATTGAAGTTAGTAATCATTGTTCTTAATGATACGTCATAAATAAGAAAATGCAGACCAAACAATTTTGCATGTCAACTCTTGTGTTTAGATATTGCAAATTTCGCATACTTTTGTAAAATAATGCATTTTAGGACATAAGGAAGTCGAATCAAAATAGATTTGAAAGTTAATGCATGGCTTATGTACATCATTTGTTTTCATTTTTTAAGACGATTACTCAAAATAAAACATACTTAATCATAACTGTAAAACTTATCCATCTTTAGCAGAAAAGAAAAAGAAACTATGACATGATACGGTGGGACTATTTAGTACGCATATGAAATTGGGTATAGTGAATTTGAAAACTCATCAAAAAATTAATTTATGCTAGACGAGCGTTTCGTTTACATAACTCTCATCAGTGGCACTCGACACAATTACGAAATCGAGGAGCACTGGAAACGGAAAATTACTTAAAGTTCTGCCAAACTTGGCCAAGGCGTTCTTTGCATGGGATCACAAAACTAACGTTTATCAATGTGTGTTAACATTCTATAAACAGTATATTTGTGAACAAACGCATTAATGTTTCATCTATATACACGACTGATAAATATAGCCCTTTTCAGAAACTCATTTTCGGATCGTGAATGTTATTCTAAAATTATAATTTGAAGCAGGTTATCTCCGTCGTCGGGGAGTAAAACTGATTTGTGGCAATGCAGCTCAATGAATATTCAACAATAAGCGGTATTTAATTCCTGTTGTTTGAAGATAATGCTTGTTTGTGATATAAATAGAAAACATTGTAATGGTCTTTTGTCTTCCAAATAAACTAATCATAAATACCAGGCTAAACATTGTATACGCCATGAGTTTCGTCTACAGAAGACTAACCAGTGACCCTCGTGACAGATTCGGGCTTTCGGAACTATCCTTTTGAGCTGGTGATACCCCTCGGTGACATCAAAAGTAGTGTATGTACAAACTCACTAAAGTTACTAAGCATTTGCCTCTGGACGTAAAGCAAATAAACTCATCATCAATTCTAGGCTACAAATTGTGTATGCCATGCGTTTCGTGTACAGAAGACTAACCAGTGACCCTTGGTTCCATCACCAAAATTCAGATCCGGGCTTCCGGAATTATTCTTTTGAGCTGGTGATACCCCTCGGTGACATCAAACTAGTGTATGTACAAACTCACTAAAGTTACCAAGCATTTGTCTCTAGGCGTAAACCAAACAATTATAAATCAAGATAACAAGCCTATAATTGAGGGTAGTAATGGGGGTACCTTCATGACGACTAACGGTAGAATTTGTTGCCAAATGACATTAACAGTAATTTTTTTGGCTTGACGATAAAATGTACATTTTCTTTATGACGATAAAAATTTGTGCTTATTTTGACGAATCACGGTAATTTTTTCCATAAAATAACGGTAACGGATAATTATTTGAGACCTCTGACGAATCACGATATAATTTTAACCAATTTGACGCTGACGGTAGCCGAAAATGACCGTTTGACGCCTGACGGTAAAGAACATTCCTATCCTCATAATTGGGTACGCAATACGTTTCATCAAACTCAGCGACAATCGGAAAACCAACTTATTTAAGAACTTAAAGAACACTGAAAACAAAAACAAAAACTCCAAACTTGTGTCAAATCTCGCTAAAACCATACCTGCCTAGATTAGAAAAACCGTTACGTTTTGGGTAATAAATGTGACGAAAAGACCGCATCAATCATTTTGAATTCAACACATGTAAGCTAATTACTGGGCTGGTGATACCCTCGAGGACATAATTTCGCTATTAATGTAATAGGTGCTCAAAACTCATTAAATATATCAAAATTATAATTTAGCAAGCTCGACTCACGAAACATCTATACAATACTCTACCGAGACACTCGAATCTAAATATTAAGAGGAGCAATTCAGTTGCGAAATTAAAAGGCATTGATCACCAAAGATTCGTATAATGGTGTTTCATATCTTCTTTTATCTTAGTACGCCAGATATGCGTTTTATCAACACAAACCACGCATTTGGGTCAGGTTTGCATTTACAAACGCAATAGCTTTATCATGTTAATCCAAAGCTATTTAAAAGACGAGAATTATCTTCGTAATTAAATTCTTAATAAAAATACTAATATTAACATTGCATGTTTTTATACTAGATCATGTCCCACTGCATCTAATTATGACAAAAACATGAACTTAACGCTTCTGTGTTGACATGAATTATCATTGATATAGTCATAATTAAAATTTACTGTTTACAAAACTTTGAATTATTCAAAATTCTAAGGATTTTCTATCCAAAGAGCAGATTACCTTATATATATTTGGCAACACTGTTAAAAAATGTGGTCCTTAATGACTTTCAACTTGGTTTTTTTTTTTTTTTTGCCTTTTTTTTTTTTTGCCTTTTTTTTTTTTGCCTTTTTTTTATTCACTCATTATAACCGAAAAATGCTTTAATTGAATATTAATATAAACAACTGTTCCACTTTAACAGGTATGAACAGAAATTAAATTGAAAAGTAATAACAACTGTTCCCCTTTAAAAGAGGGACGAAAGATACCAGAGGGACAGTCAAACTCATAGATCGAAAACAAACTGACAACGTCATGGCCAAAAATAAAAAGACAAACAGACAAATAATAGTACAGATGGCACAACATAGAAAACTAAAGACTAAGCAACACGAACCCCACCAAAAACTGGGGGTGATCTCAGGTGCTCCGGAAGGGTAAGCAGATCCTGCTCCACATGTGGCACCCGTCGAGTTGCTTATGTTATTACAAATCCGGTAAATAGTCTAATTCGGTAAGTCACATTCGTGAAAAGGGAAGGGTATTGTAGTTACAACATAAGGAACATATCCGATATCATCTGTGAAACGGTTATTCCATAACGGTCAACCAACTCGTGATGGCGTCCGTAAAATTTACGAAGGGATGACTTCAACTTCACCATTTGGAACTCTTGGTTTAATAGCTTCCTTGTGAGCAGCAATCCTCTATCAAATGACGGGTAAATACAGGGATTAAATTGAATAGTAATAACAACTGTTCCCCTTTCACGGATATAGGCAGAGATTAAATTGAATAGTAATAACGACGGTTTCCCTTTAACGGATATAAACTGAGATTAGATTAAATAGTCATAACAACTGTTCCACTTTAACGGATATAAACAGAAATTAAATTAAATAGTCATAACAACTGTTCCCCTTTAACGGGTATAAACAAAGATTAAATTGAATAGTAATAACAACTGTTCTCCTT